TGAAAGCAAAATATGCGGCAAAACATATTCTATGATGATTAAAGTTCTTGAAGGAAGTACAAGTAGAATGCATACACATTTAAAAACACAAGATAACACTAACTTATTGAAAAAAAAAAAGGTAATCTGAGACAAATTATAACTCAAGCAAAGCAATATTAATAAATCAAAACATCAAACATTCTTCTGTAAAAACAATTACTGTTTCGATGAAGTTTTATCTAGAATGAGAGCATTAGATGGTTTTCCGTTCAGAGTGTTTTATACTTCATTTGAATTGGGAAAGTTATCAGTTGCAAGACGTTTCCAAATATACCAAAATCTGTTAATACTATAAGAAGAACTGTTATAAACTATCGTAACAGTGTTCACAATACCTGAAAAAGAATTAATAGAATTAAAATTAAATGGTACAAAATGTACATTTGATGAATGGATAAGTGAACGAAACAGATGTTACTTAAATGTAAATATTCATTCAGAAAAGAAAAATTGGAATTTAGAACTCCCACATGTCTCGAGAAGTAGGTCAGCTATAAAATGTGTAGAAATATTAGTTAAATACAAACTGGAGGAACATGGATTATCTCGGAAAGAAGATATTGCCTGCATAACTACTGATGGAGCGACGGTGAGGAAAAACATTGGGAAGTGGATTGATGTAAATCAACAATTATTCTATGCTCATGGAATTCACTTTGGAGTAATCACTCTGCTTTATCAATAAAATCAAGAGTAGAAGAGCAAAATATTCTGCATTTAGAAAATTCTGATTCCGACCTCGAAGAGTGTGGTAATGAAGAAAATAATAATACAATTGTTGTAAGTACCTTAGTTGGATATGAAGAAGATAATAGTAACGAGGACGAAATATTAACAAAGATTTCTTCCTGTAACTAAGAAATTTAAAAAGTTGTTAAAATATTTAAACTTTTCCATACAGGATAATGCCGTTTTACAAAATTACACACTTACTGGAATGAAAAAAGAAATTATTCTAGCGTTAAATTTTAAAACTTGGAGCAGTTTGCTCTTAAAAATGGAACGATTTTAAAATTAAAAACACTATTTCAGAAAGCATTAATTGACTTAAATTTACAAATTAATTTTTCCAACAGTGAATTCGATTTAATAACTAAAACCGTATCAGCCTGCTTCCACTAAAGCTGAGAGGTGGGGAGTAAGCTGTGGAGGCATTATGTCGGAACGACTCGAACCTATTAACAGCGAATGCAACAATTGATTTTATGTTGCAATCACTTAAACATCAGAACACCTCACTATCTGAGGAATTATAAGTTCATTGAAAATTCACATAAAGGAAAAGCAAGGTGAACTATAAAATATTTTAACCTTTTGACTACTAACGGGACATATATGTCCCACTAAGAGAAACCCGTTTGTCCTCGAAATTAATTAAGATTTTTGTTTAAATCCAAGCCAAATATAAGGTTTCTTATTTAACTCTTTGACTACGAAACATATACGTCCCACTAAATTTACCTTATTTATGACATGTTTTGACAATTGTGTTCACTTGGATAGAAAACGGGGTAAAACTTTTTTTTTTTTAATTCAAAGGTAAGATGGTAATGGTTAAGGTATTTACATCACAAAGTTTAACCCTTTTGGACATCAATGTTAAACTCTATGCAGACGTTCAGCAACTTACCTCTAAGTATAACAGAAATTGAGAAGGGTGTAAAAAAGTTTTATTTAAAATTAAATAAGATGAACAGAAGGCTCTCCTGGTGCTTACAACTCCACCAGCATTTATGACGGGAAACTTAAAGTAGTAGATCTGTTGTAAAGCTTGAATTTAAGTAAACAGACAAAGGCTGCACAGAGAATTTAAGTTGAAATTAAGTTGAACGAAGTTGTCTCAGAACTTCACAGACGCGGATTCTGACCATCGGGGCTTTTAATGCAAAGCTGAAGACAGAAACACTTATCTAAAGTAGCAAACCTAGTAATGTGGCCACGAGCGGCAAAACACACTGTCTTAACAGTCTCAAACATCATTAAAATCCTGAAATCCGCTGGCTTCCGTCCCAGTGTATCACATAATCGATACAGAACTGGTTACCAACTCAGCAGTTTAAGGCCGTTGAAGATATTAATTGCATTATTTTTTTAGGAAGCCGTAACTCTTGCCCATTGTACATAATACATGCTTATTTACAAATACATAATACAAATATAAAACCGAAAATATTTTGCCATTACATATTACAAATACATAGTACATTCTTGAATAAATGCTAATACATTCTTGAATAAGTACTAAAACATGACTAAGTTATTAAAACATTACACAAAAATGATTACATCTTATGAAACTAATGTGTGCTTCCAATACCTGTACTTTATACCTATAGACTATACATTTACTAGTACTTGCTAGACCAATAACGTGTACCATATTATTATAGAAATGCATTATACAGCATGTACAAATACAATGTACAAGGTGATTATATTCAAAGTTGTGATCCCAAAACGCTTCAACTCCAAAACTACCGGTCAGAATGACCTGATATTCCACCAGAACAACAGTGAGGCGATGGAACCCTGTTTGGCGCAGGAAAAATAGTTCCGAAATGCGCCAAAAGATGGTGTTTTCAGGGTTCACATGACTATTGTGGAGGTATGCACATTCCTAAGACATGCGCACCACAAGCATACCTGTGATAAAAATGCAGAACACTAGTGGAACACGTAATGCTTTGCTTGAATGCTTCATCCTGACTGACACAGAAGAATCGCGCTCTGCTCCTGAAGCTTTTCTATTAGAACGGTGACTCTGCGTTAACAGCTGTCAGAAAGTTCTGGAACTAAAAGGCATAAAATTGTGGCTCCTTATGGCCTGCGAAAAATGATAGATAAATTCGAAGAGACCGGTGTATTTAACGTGAAACCATGTAGAGAACGCCAACCAGTTACGGCGGTGGCAGTGGAAGATGTAGCCGAAAATTTACAAGAATAGACGAACAGTGATGCAGCAATCAGCAGTGCACGGGGAATTGGACGAATGTTGGATATGCCTATCAGCAAGGGGCGTAATGTTCGTGCAGAAGTTGCTACTTGTTGAACTGGAAACACGTGAATCGTTTGCACAATGATTTCCTGCCCGGATGGAAGTGGACAATGGATGGCCAGGGAACATTCTATGGTCTGACGAAGTCCGTTCTCGTTTGCAAGGTTCTGTGAATACTCAAAATTTCAGGATATCAGTGATTGAGAATCTGTTTCCGCTACAGGCATTACTCTTCAGTCTAATAAGGTCACTGTGCGGAGCGGAATAATGGCAGCGTTTGGCATCGGTCCGTTATTCTTCGAAATCCCACCTGCGAGTCCCCTTACCTGCACCGTTTTTGTCAAGCAGTATGAAGCATTTTCGATTAACCATGTCCTTCCGGTTCAGCAGTATCACTGTGTGGATCGCACAATATGCATGCAAGATGGCGCTCCTCCGGACATTGCTACTTGTGCGAAACAGCTGTTGATCGCTCATAAAATAAGCCGCTATTTTCCAACAAGGTGGCCGCTTTTGGGGATACCTGAAGAATGTTGTTTATAGTGGGTGGATTGGGAATCTGACCGAACTGCTGTGAAACATGCCGTTTTGCGCTTCCAACTAATAGCAGAACAAGGCGGAGGCCATATCGAACGTGATGGAGGTCATCCGTGAGGCGTTTGTTTCATGAAGCTCCTCTTTTTCTCTTGTCACTATTATTGGTTTCGTTGTACACACGTATTCTTTAAACTGTTCGCTGTTGTAAACCCTTGGAGTCTATTATTTTCTTTTAGCTAACAACATTCCTGTGTTTAACGATTAGGCCTTACCCCTGATAGCGCAATCTCAAAAATCATTATAAATACATGAAAAATAATTTGTATTCTGGTTGGAAAACGGAAAAAGAGAAGTGGTAGTACAGATTTAAAACATTAAATAACTGGGTATTCAAATTAAAGGTACTTCGCAACATAATTATATAGACTTTAAAACTGAAAACGAAAAGGAAGAAAAAGCTAAAAAGGCCACATTTAATTAGGTTCATCGTAAATCTCCACAAAAACATTTATGGAAAGCAAACATAAACCTATCTAGAGAGATTATCTTAAAATGATATTTATGCAAATATCAAAAAAGAACTGCCTCTCGAGAAGAAATTACAATTAGTTATAAATAAAAAGGGTCACAAACAGTAATACAAAAAATAGATTTATTCAAAACCATTTATTCTTGTTAAAATAATAATAATGCTATAAGTTTTGTTCCTTTGTTGTGTTATAATATTGTAATAGGTTATTTTTTGTTCCTATTGCTATAAATTATTATTTCGCTTCCCTTACTAATAATATTTGACAACAACATTTTTTCCTTTATTACAAAAATTGTTCATAGTTTGTTCATTTTTTTGTATACACTAATAAAATGGTAAAGAAAAAACTGTGTTTGGCATCTTTTTTGGAAAATTCCTAATAATGGTATTTCGGCACAACTTTTAAAAAAATACCGAAGACTGGTATGAGTTTTTGGTCCAGTATTGCATTCACTGTACGTACATCAAATATTGCATACTTTTCACATATCAACTATTACATAATTTTCTATTTATATACTGCTCCTGGTATGATCACTTACTTTAAAATGAAATACCTCGGTCAAATTTCGCCTTACGAAGGTCCCACGTTTTGTATTTCATTTTTAATAATGAGTGTAACATTTTCCTAAATCTAAGTACAGAGACCAGAAGAAACGAATAAAAAGTTAGATCTCGAGGCTTTTTACAAAACTGATTTATTTTAAATTAACAAATTCCAACATTTGAGTCATAACACATTTTTGTAATCAGAAATTTATGTCTACGACTCTACGGTTCCGAAAATAAAGACTCAGTACCGGAATTTTGTATACACGGTGTACATAAAATTAATGTTTTGAAAAACTAGTATTAAGAATAGAAATGACAAAAAATAACTGCAGAATTAATTACTTATCATTTACGTAACCTCTTTTCTTCAATATGGATCCATATACAAATGTAACAGCTCTTGTTCCTCCTTCCCATAATGTTCCTTTGCCTCCTCTAAGAGGCCAGTTGTTTCCTCCAGCGGAAGTTTGGCCTCCATTCTGCGATAAATTACATTAGTGTCTAATTAAAGATACTGAATGAGTTTCAGAAGTAACATTAATTTTATTGCACTTACATCTGTAGTGAACACTATTAGGCAGTTCTCCCAAAATCCGTTTTCTTTCAGAGCCTCAACGACGACACCAACTGCGTTATCCATTGCTGTAACCATCCCTAGAAAAACATTATTATTTAAGAATTAGGAAATCAAAAATTCTCTAGATTTCTATAAATTTAAGTCTGTAAATATTTGTACGCATGTTCTTTATATACACAGTGACTCCAAAAATTGAGAATATGATTTTTCCCCCCAAAACGTTTATAGATAGTTTGGTAAATTTCTGGCAAAACACATAAATATTTAAAATTTTATATCTTTCATAAAAATGCAGGCACGTGGTTTTCTCTCTCTCTCTCTCACTGTATATATGTAAAAATGTTATATTAAAATGGATTCATTTCTGAAATTTAAGAAAGCTGTTATACAAATTTTATGATAAAAAATGAAACTATAAGTCTGCGAAAGTGTGTTTAACAACCATTATTTTTTAAAGCTGCCCCCAAACTTAACGATAAATTCGAATCATCACTGTGAATAACTACGTTTATTCCTCTACACAACTTATTTGTTATACTTTGCTTGTTGTACTTTACGAGATTTTAAAAGACTGTAGAGACATTAGGTATTTTTTGGAAGCAGGATTGAAAAATGAGCAACGCTTTCGCCGCGAATCAAACCACGGACCTCTGGAATACTCGCCCAGCGTGCAGATCACCACACCACGGCACGATAAGAAGGTGGGAAAAATATACTCCCCCTTTTAAAGGGCGACTGGGGTTTTTAGGGGACCCAGTCGCCAAATCATGGGTGTGGAGAATCATCATCCAACATCCTTTTAGTTCGGACGCCACTGTAGAGACATTAGGTATTTTTGGAAGCAGTTAAGATGAAAAATGAGCAACGCCTTCATCGGGAATCGGATCACGGACCTCTGGAATACGCGACCAGCATGCAGACCATCACATCACGAAGGCACGCTAAGAAGGCAGGAGAAATACCTTATAAAGTAATATGAAACCTTTAAGAGAAACCAACATTTGATGTGAGAATGTTTATTTTAAGGTTAGCAAAAAAACAGTAAATCGGCGTAAAATTGCTAAAATAATAGGACGAAATCACACGTATGTTTAGAAAATAATTGGAAAGTAAAATTATAGGAACTGGTCAAAAATAAAAATGGAAAATGAAGAAAGGTAATTCTAAGCACAGCTGTTAAAAGAAAAATATTGAAAGAAATCAAGTTAAATCTCAAAGTAAGTGACGCTAATACAAGTTAAAATAACATTGATACTAAATTTACTATACAAACCTCTGCAACTATTGGTAATCCTGCCCAACCTAACTGAAATATTAACAGAAACTGAGGTTATAAACATAGAGTAGCAAGAATGAAACACTTCATAAATTTTCTAAATCCACGACAGCATTTAGAATTTGCTAACTCACGTCAGAAAAGAACAAAACTTTTGGAGAAATGTCATTTTAAGGAACTAAAGCAATTTTCATACATTATTTGATAGTGATGGTCGTCTCACTGATCAGTGAAAGCTTTAGTATACATTATGTACAGTATGACTTCAAGTGGAGTTGGGAAGTTTGTTTTTATTTAACGTATTGTGGACTAAACAATGTATTTATACAAACTGCAGAACCAAGCATTATGAGCCCTTACTTAATAAAGCGTTACGCGACCTTTGGCCTACGAAACAGCTACAACTCGCCTTGGCATTGATGCCACAAGCTCTTGGTAGACAACTGGAGACAGGTTATACCAAATGTCGAAGCAGCGGTCGCGCAAAGTCAAGATATTCCGACGTGGTGATGTTTGAGCTCTGAGCTGCCTATCCATCACATCTGAAATGTCTCTATTGGGTTACGATCCGGCAAGTTAGGTGGCCAGTGTATTAATTGGAATCCTCCTTATGCTCCTCGATCCACTACAACACAGTTCGAGCCTTGTGACATAGGGTGTTATCCTGCTAAAGGATTCCATTTCCAGTTGAGAAGACAGACGGCATGTAAGGGTGAAACTGATCCACAATTATGTTCAGATAGTCCGCCGCTTTTATGGTCTTTTCTACCACAACTAAGGATACCAGATCCGCCCATGAAAACGTCCCCCAAAGCATAATACCGCTACCATCAGCCTGTTTATGACCTGCTGTACAGGGGGAGCAACTGTTCGCCTGGAAGAGGGCGTACCCTGACACAACCATCAACGTGATGAATTGAAATCGTGATTCATCCGACCAGGCAACTGTCTTCCACTTATCCATGGCCCAGTCTTGGTGTTTCCAGGCCCACTCTAGACGTAGTTGAAAATGACGCTTAGTCAATAGAGGCATACGTGTGGGACTTCTATTGCGCAATCCTATATCCAGCAGTGTGCGCTGAATTGTGCGTTCCGAAACGCTTTCACTTGGACCTACATTGTATTGGGCTGTCAGTTGGGCCACTATCTGACGCCAATTTTGCTGTACTAAGCGGGACAGTCTCCGACGTCCTTTTTTTATGACGCGTGGACGTCCAACACTTTGCTGCCTACTGCTGGTTTCCCCGGCGTATATCCACTTTGCATAAATACTAACAACGGCAGATAGTGAACAACATACCAGTTGTGCAGCTTCGGAAATACTCGTTCCGAGTCTTCGGGCCATTACAATCTGCTCGCTATCAAATTCGCTCAGATCAGCAGCCTTTCTCATCACTCGCAAAAGTAAATGAAAGAATGATTTCTTACCTTCTCTAGCAGCAGTTAAATACAATTCCCATTTAATCACGTGCCCTCCACGTCATCCAGATGAGTTAATTGAAAAATGTGGGGATGGTCATAATGTTTTGGCTCACCCGTGTGCATTAAGCAAAAATAAAAGAAAAGCATAACTAAATTAGGCTTGTGTAAAAATTTCATATTTCGGCAAGACAATGATTTCAAACATAAAACGCATAATGAGAAAATGCAGTGACCTTTATCACCTAAAACATCATCTACATTCTCCTCCCCAGTCTCCAGACATCAGTGTTACTGAACGTCTGTAGTTCGTGGTCAAAAATAATGTACAATAAGGTAAAATAACAAGCAAAGATTACTTAGAAAGTGTCCTGCAAAAAGATTGGGATAAAATATCTTCAAATACGATTAAAAAAATAGTCGAGTCTGTGTCAATACTTTCCGAAGCAATATTAAAGGCTAACGTGTAGGATTTTATGTTAATTAAGCAATTATTATCATTTACCTTTTACTTTCAGTTTCTTATTTCCGTAGTCCTCACCAGAATGCGAATTAGTTGCTGTGTATTTGTGTTGAGGGTTTAAATGCTTTAGGCAGAACTTTATCATATGTTAAATTAATGCAAGTAGCAGAGGTTCATCTGTAGCACAACTAATGCCTCCTGTTTATTTAAGAGTTAAATAAAAAGGTTATTTTAACCTTCCTACGATTTACACTATTGCTTCAGACTGAAGCGCTAGCTCGTTTTGCAGTATAATAGGGTTTACAGGACAGAGAAAAGCTTCTGAACTAAGAACCTATAAACAGGCGTTGCACAAAATACAAACATATCTTTATTTATTAAAAATAACAGAAGTTTTTTAGTATATTCTCAATTTTTTGAGGCAAAATCTGCTAATGTTTCATTTAAATGCTGTACGTAGTTTTATTACCAAGGAGTTTTCTTTCAGTTTTTTGTATTTTGTCAGAAATGACATTCATTAATGTATGAAATAAAAAGTCATTTAACCTTCTTAGTAACTGTTTATTTGGTTTCAAAATTACATCTATCAATAAAATGTTGAGTCTATTCTCAGTTTTTGGAGTCGCTGTATGCAATATTTAGGGGATAAATGTATTAATTGCAAGAGTAGGCGTTTGGATTGGGAAACATATGCAGGCTTTTCATTTGCAGAACTATTCAGTCAAGAACTGAAATAGAATAAACGTTATTTTGGACATCGCTAAGTAAGATGCTAACATTCTTAGGCAAGCAAGATTTTCTCTTTCCCTATTAAAGCAGCAAATTTGCATAATTGTTTCGTACCCTTAATCAGATTGCTTTCTTAAAGTTAAAAATTGATCTTCGTAAAGCCGCTGCCATGCTTGTATCAGCTCATCCTTGTGAAGACTTCTGAACTGTCGAACGCTGGCCGAATGAATAAGTGCTGCGGCACACACATGAAGGGCCGGCCTCCTTATATCATCCTAAGCTAATTGCTTTGTTTCATTTACAAAAGGCACAACCAACTGGTGGCTTGCGAGAACTTTTTCTTGCGCCTGAGGTAAGGTTAACAAAATTTTTAATATTATTACTGACCGCCACATTCTTGCTTAAATGTTTATTTTTATGCCTTTTTGTTGGGTAGAGGCGAGCGAACGTTTTTTCTTATGCGCATGCGTATTAAATTATGATGGCGCAGCTGTGTCTTCTACCGACACATCCGTCATTCGAGCTTTGAGCGTATGGAGATGGTGAGATGTTATTTGCTGTGTGATGGTCAGTATGATTTCCTGTGTGATCCTTTTATTCATTATTCGTGTAAATAAAGTGTATTGTCCAAATCGATGGCTTCTTTACTCTAAATATTGGCCTCTAAATAACACTTTTTTATATTAATGTACATAGTATTTTTAAAAACTGGGGCCACGTCAAAAGTATCCCAAATGTAGTAGAATGTCATCCATGCTTGGAAGTACAGTAAACTCTCTCGAAGACGGCCACTAAGACTTCCAAAAGATTATGGACCTCTGTGGAGTTGTCTGTTTAAGAGAAGACTGTGGTCGATGATCGCTTTTATCATTTTACTACTGGAAGCTTTTGGAGTCTGTTAAAGAAAAGTACTGAAGTAGAATTGCGATGTTTATTTTCCGTCTTTTATAAGCTTAAAGGTTTTTCACGATGATTTACATGGAGTCTTACTTCTGTTTGAAATTAATTATCTTGTAGAGACATTAGATCAGTTCGAAGCAGGAGATATGAATAATGAGCAATGCCCTCGCCGGGACTCGAACCACGGACCTCTCGAATATGCTTCGAGCGTGCTGACCGCTGCAACCCGAAGGCATGCTAAGAAGGCGGGAGAAATATCTTACATACTCCCCCTTTTAAAGGGCGATTGG